TTATCAGAGTAACTCTCTTCCAGAGTTCTGATGATGTTCCATTTTCTTCTTACCAGAGTAACTCTCTTCCAGATTTCTGCAGCTTAGTGCTAGCGTGATTGTTTTAACAAACTGTTCATCCAGAGGAGCGTTTTAGATCAGAGCAGATCTTCGCTCTTACATGTTATCCAAATGTATCACTTTGTTACTAATGTTTCAGAGCCTTATGTGTTTTGATTCTCAGAGCCTCTGCAGTTGCAGTGTTGAGTTTAGTATGCTCAGAGTTTTCTGAATCTTCGCTTTATACTCTACGCTCAGAGCCTTCTGTAGCTTCGCTTTTTACCAAACGCTCAAAGTCTTCTGTAGCTTCGCTTTTTACCAAACGCTCAGAGTCTTCTGCGTGTTGTAGCTTAACATTCAGAGGAATATTCCTTTCAGAGGAATATTTATTATGTTATCTGAAACAAAAACATTTGAACAAAATTAGAGTATATATTTTCTCCATACAAAATTTCATTATTGTTATCATCAAAACATTGAGATATATTAAGAACCAATCTGTGTTCTAACATTTTTTGCCAGCGTTACATTTATAATCATTATTGTACTTTCTAATGCTTAACACATTTATCATTAAGTACTTAACTGGAAAACCTTTCTGCACTTTTCTTTTTCTTATGTGGTTCATAATTCTCTTGGTTTGTTCAATACGTTACTATTAATGAAATGAGTAGGAACACACATCATCTAAAGCATAATCCTATAAATCAAAATCAATAGCTTCTAAAAATATTTTCATGCTTGTTTTCATATGGTATACCCTTCACATTAAACTGTATTTTTTTAAAGAAAAATGTATGGAACCTTGTTTTACAAGTGACGTGCTTCTAACAAGGACAACATATTTTTTTTGAAGTTTTGATGATGAAACCTTATTCATGATGACTTTAATGTCTTCTAAAAGTCAGACACAAGTGCTTAAACGGATAAAGATGCAAACGTAGGTATTATGATTTGATGGACTTAACTATCCGAAGGCGATGATGGCAACCAAATGAAATATATGCTCAAGCCTCATCTCAAGTGAACTCAAGCAAGTATCTTCAAAAAGGAAGAATTTGATAAAATCTTGAAGTACAAGGAAACCCTATTTAAGTCATGGTGAATAATGTGTAAAACAAAAACGCATTCTCGTAAAAATACATGGCTAAAACACACACACAAACTTAAACTTATTTTCAAACTTATTTTTTTCAAGAAAATATTTTTTTAAATGTATTTAAGTTGTGTCAGATAAATTGGGAACAATCAAAATTGTTATGGATAAAGTTTTATCTTTTCTATTCGATTAGAGCACTTATCTAATCGATTAGATAAGTTCAAAATTAAGCTCAAAGTGATTATGGCAGAACTTTAATGATGTAAAAATGGCTAGATATCTTTTCTTTCCTTTTTGGAAATGGTAATCGATTACCATTGAAGTTTTTAATTAATTACTATTATGTCTTAATCGATTAGATTACCTTAAAAGGAATTATAAACAATTTCCTTTTTTAGCCAACCTTTAGCCTATAAATAGCAGTTTCTTCCCCCACTTCATTTCATCCAAAAATGTGTTTTGACACTTCGCACTCTCTCCCTCTCTCTCTAAAAAAAATTATTTCCTTTCTCTCACTAATATTTTAGTTGAAGTGTTTATTTGAGAAATTTTTTTTGTGAGTGAGGATATTTTGCAATTCAATTGTAAATTCACCAAGGGAATCTTTTGTATACACCTTGGTTGAATATTATCCATTTCAGGATTTTTTTTTGGGTTAGAAACAAAACCTGTAAAAGTTTTGGCTTGGGGGTTGTATGATCAAACCCCTATTTAGGTTCAAGCTCAGCCTGTGATAAAAGCTTGATCGGTTCAAGATTAGTCTGTGGTAAAATCTCTTAGGTTTTGGTTAGCCCATGGTAAAACCAATGTTAGGTCAATGCTTAATTTGTGATAAAAGTTTGGATAAGGTTCGAGATTAGCCAAATATTAAAATCTTACGGGTTATTGGTTAGCCCGTATAAAATCAAGGTTTAAGGTGAGCTCAGCCAATGGTAAAAGCTTACAAAGTTTGTTTAGAAGCTTGAAGCCTAACCGCTTCAAGATTCTTGTGGAAAGAAGACTAACCGCTTCAATCTACCATTTGTGGAAGGAATACTAACCACTTCAATCTACCGTTTGTGGAAGGAAGACTAACCGTTTCAATCTAACGTTTATGGAAGGAGAACTAACCACTTCAATCCAACATTTGGAAGAGAAGACTCAATTGTTAAAGTCTAAGTCTTATTGTTTAGGTTGGAAGTCAACCAATTTTCCTTGTATAAGGGTGTTCTTGAGTTTTACCTACCAAAAGCTCTAAAAGTTTATTAGATACTCTCAAGATCAAATATTGGGGAGAAGAGTAAGTTGTTTTCTTATTTGACCAAACCTCTATAACTTCATCTTTTTCCCTTAACAATTTATTTTCCAAAATTTATATTCCGTAATTTATTTTTCGTTGCTTAATACTCAAAACATTTTTAAACTCTAATTATAATCTAATTTTTTTTTTAAAACCATATTTTTCGGGACCACATAATTCACCCCCCTTTGTGTGGGAAGTCACATGTCCAACAAACTACACTTATTAAAAGAAAAGTTTAAAGCCATCATCCTACCTTTTGAGACAATTAGTGTTTATAAAGGAGGGCTGAATTGTGATATTCAAATTCCAATTTTTTTTTAGAAAAATGATTAATTTAAAATGATTTATATTAAAAGCAAAGATAAGTATATATTAAGCAGCAGAAAAGATAAATGACGGTGAAACAGATAAATGACAAAATATATAAAGAGATAAGGTAATAAGGATCACACCAAAGATTATCCTAGTTGACCTTTAAACCACGCACCCAACTCCAGTCTCCAGGAGTTTCCTCTTGATATTTCTATTAAACAATAGTTTAAGCTTTTTACATAGGTTCAGCCTAAAAACCTTAAATAACTTGAGTTTTTTCTCAGGATCATCCCAACAACCTTACGTAAATAACTCGAGCTTTTTCACATATTCAGTTTAACACTTTTAAACCAAGATTTGTATAGGTTTAGTTTGCAACCTTCAAATCTATTACACTATCATAAAAGTATTAAGCTCTTGAATAAACAAATTTACGACAACGGTAGAACTCAACAACTCTCATATGAAGTTTTCACTCTCTCAGCACTAAGACAATTTATAATGAATAAAACTTATCAAAGAAAGAGATTGAGTGAGATAAGAGATAAGATTATTTGAAAAATTGGTGTGTTGATTAGTCACGAAAATACTCCTTTACATAGAACAAAAATTAGTTTGAAAAGGCAATAATCTACGTGCCTCTACATTCCTAATTGATTAGAACACCAACTTAATCGATTAGGTTATCTCAGAAAAGGAAACTATAACCTGATATGTCACAATTGATTAATAAGGTTATCTAATTGATTATGATATATTACTATTACTATAATTAATTAGGAGGTCTTACTCTTGCTCTAATCGATTAGATGAAAGGCCTAATTAATTAGACAATTGAGTTTTATTTTCCTAATTGATTATAAAGCTTCTTAATAGATTAAGTACTTGTCGTGATTGGTTTTTAAGAAGTTTTAATAAAAAGATGAAGAATTTCAAAATGTTTTAGTGTGTGTGAGCATCGCCTTTAGTACATCAATACTTGCTTTTACTTCATTTACATTTAACTAATCAAAATACAAGATAAAATATTAAGTGCTGAATCAGATGAGTTTTCACAAATTCACACCTTCAGTTCCTTCTTGATTTACTCTCCCTTGTTCAGTTGTCATCATCAAAATCTTTAGAAAATATTAACCTGCACATCACACAGAACCACAACTGCTTGACTAGGTATTTATAACCATGGGCTCCCTTAGAGGGAGACTAGTTCTCGCGTCTATAAGCATTGTCACATGTGTCCCACCTTTGACTGAACAATAGAAGCAAGTGGGGTGAGTCATTACTTGAATGCAAAAGTGTGATTCACTTATCAGACTTGGTATGTTCTGGTCCTTGGCTTAATAAATATTGTTACTATGCTTGGAACATGTCTTGAACACCATTTTGCAAGGTGTGGCGTAATGGAAGATATGACGAGCTCATCCACATGATTTCCACATGACCTTGCCTCTTTTTATTTTGGTCATACTTGTATTGGTTATGAGTAAGAGAGTTAGTGGCCCGAGGGGTTTGACTCTTGTTGGGCTTGATTTGTGACATGACGATTCACAGACACTTAAACATAAGACATGCATGACAGAATGATTAAATAAGAACATTACATTCTATGGCACCTTAAGGATGAAATGATTAAGTAATGACATAATGATTATCAATATCTCAAACATGAATTCAGACGAAGTCATTAAGCAAAGATATAACAGTCTATAATTCCTCAAACACAAAATGATTAAGCAAATATTTAACTGTATGAAATCCTACTAGCATGAGACTTATAAGAGCGAAATAATTAAACAAAGACATAATGATCGAAATTTATAATTTATTCTTTGATCTTTCATCAAAATTTAATATATCCATATATGTGTGTAAATAAAATAAAATTATATAGAATAATAATTTGAGTATTTGAATAAATTTGAATGTAAGTGAATATTTTTAGATTTTTCATGAAAAAAAATCATTTTATATAAATTAATTTCAAGGAAAAATATGTAGCAATACATTAAAAATAGAATCTATATGTAATGAACCAAAAAATAAATTTCAATCTATATGCAAGATCTATATGTTGGATTCTTTCATTTTCAATCATTTTCTTACGTTCTCTGTTTCACTAACAGCAAATTAACCAACTGGCCTCGCAAATCCGATTGTATTCTAAAGTTTCGCGTCCCTGTCTAATATCTACACCATTCTATTCTTCAATGGGGTTTTAGAATTCCAATTGATGAAGATTTTGGTTTTGATTTTGTAACCCAAACCCAAATGGGTGTGGTGAAGTCGTGGTTGTTATCGATGAACCACACTCACCCTAACACCAAACACGCCTTCTGTTCGAGATCCATCCCTTGGTCCCTCATTTGCGGCTTCATGCTTTTCGGTTTGGGTTTAATTTCCCTTTTAACAGGTCACCTTGTTTCTCACGTTGAATGGTACTCTCAACGATTTGTTCACCGCTCTTTCTTTTCTTCATTGGTTAGTCTTCTTTTCCCTTTTATGCATTGCATCACATAACTCTCTAGCACTAACACCTCTGAAGAAGGCGTATCCAACACCTGTGATTATGTTCAATTTATTTATTTTTGTAAATTATTATCAGTGTTGATGTATCGTATCTGGTATCTGGTATCTGTGTCCGTGCTTCATTAGCATACTAAACACGTAGTGTAATTAACTGAAATATTTATTGATTAGTGAGTTGGTTACAACTCCTAGCTAGTGGCTAGAGTAGATAGTTACTTAGTTAGGTAGTTAAATTATTCATAAGCTCTATATATTATCTTTTTTAATCAATATGATTCCTTATTAATTTTTACATCATGAATGTTTTTTTTTTAGGATGGAAATGATCATGCGCCAATTGATATTTGGGAATCACAATATTCTAAATACTACTATGGATGTAAAGAAAGGGGACGCAATTTTTCGCGTAAGTTAATTAACTAACTAACTAACTCCTTGTGTTTTTTTTTTTTTATTTTGCTAATGCTAACTAAAATTGGTACCATTGGCATGTATGTCCGATGATGTTTCGTTAAGTACAATTCTGTTGTGGATATTTCTCCACTGCTTTAGGTTAGATTACATCAGTAGATTAAATAGAGATCAGTGCAAATTTGCTCTGAGGGTTGTTAGCTTCGGAGGCATTTTTCCCACCGTTCGCCTCCACTTATCGTGAACTAGATTTGATCTTTTTAGTGATTTTCACTTGGCATATGATTTAGATAATGTCTCAATATTTTGGTGTTATGTTATGTGGTATTTAAAACTTACCTTGTGAGAGTTTTAGTATGTGAAATTTTTGTTTTTATAATTAAAAACGAGAAATCAAAATAGAAATTTGTTTCCTCAACTAAATAAGCCCTTGATATACTAATGCTGTCTACTGTACAACCCCTGTTTGAGCTCAGTGACTCTCTTCTATTACCATACGGTGATAGGTTTTTTGGCTAGCAATCAATAGATGTGAGTCTACATCGACAGTTTTAGAAAACCACTTTAGGCATGGTGTTTTGCATCCCTTGTATATGGTAGTATGCTGTTTGATGGATATTAAACAGGTCCAAATGACTTGTAACATTGCTAGACTTTTTACAAAATTTTGATAATTCGTCCTCCCTTAAAACACACTTGTAAAAGTTCAAGTACAAGAAGTTGTCCTTATTCCTTAAACACTTATCTAATATATCTCGATTAATGAATGCTCCTTTCTAATTATAGTGTGTATAATTGTTCCAGTTGTAAGAGGCTTTCCTGGCCCATTCCATTAGATGACTGAGAAAATTTAAGTGTTCCATCTTATACTTTGTTTTACCTCTAGACAATTCGTTAATATCGGAATGAATCATTTAATTTTTCTACATGTCACTTTCTATCTCATTATGGTAGTTGGATAATGCAGCGGCTATAATTGAGCGCATGTCAAATGGCTACTTGCTTATTGCAGCAAGCGGAGGACTGAACCAACAAAGAACTGGGGTAAGTAGGTTATTAGTTTTATAATATGCCATTGGTCCTCACTCAATGGTGCAATTATCAATTACACGTTCATGGATAGAAATGATTAATGTATCTGATATCCTTAGTTGGCTGCTCTCCTACTGATCAAAATCATGAAAAGGGCAGAAATGATTTTGCGTTGGCACATTTGTTCCTTTTCAGTTGTTTTTGAAGAATGTGAGGCTAGATAGATTAAGTTCTTTTCAAATTCATGATGATAATTGATAAAACTAGTCACGTGTTATTATTCCTTCGTTGCATGTTATTAGTGATCAGGATTAGATTAAGAAATTGCATCAATTATCATTTGTTGTAATCCTATTATAAACACAGCCTAGTGTGATCTGCTGATTTAGACACGCTAACATGCAGAAATCACAAACTCAACATAAACAAATTATTGATTAAAAATAATATTATTTCTATGGAAATGACAATCATGTTCGTGCCTTCAGATAACTGATGCTGTTGTCGTTGCACGAATTCTTAATGCTACACTTGTTGTACCTGAATTAGATCATAATTCCTTTTGGAAAGATGACAGGTAATTTGCATATCATTTCCTAGTCTTCACTCATAGTAGAATTACTTTGAATTTAGTCATCAATTGTTCATTTGATAAACTGCACTTCTTTTTATACAGTGACTTTGCCAATATTTTCGATGTTAATTGGTTCATTACTTATCTTGCAAAAGATGTTACTATTGTTAAAAGAGTTCCTGATAAGATCATGCGGTCAATGGAGAAACCGCCATATACAATGCGCGTCCCTAGGAAATCAGATCCTGAATATTATCTTGACCAAGCTTTGCCAATACTCTTGAGACGACGGGTAAGCCTGCATATTATGAAATTGTGATTATTTTCACTGGAAGATGTTGTTTCTTTAAATGATTGCCACAATGAAACGCCTAGCAGCTTGTTAATTTGGAAAGTCCTTTCTGAATTCAGCTGTGGTGGTGATAACAGATTTTTTTGGGATATTTTGCAGGTTCTTCAATTGACAAAGTTTGACTATAGACTTGCCAATGACCTCGATGATGAGCTACAAAAACTTCGTTGCCGTGTTAATTATCATGCTTTGAGATTTACAAAGCCTATACGGAAACTTGGTCAAAAAATTGTAATGAGCATGCAAAAGATGGCAAACCGTTACATAGCAGTTCATTTGAGGTTTGTTCAATAAACCTGCTATATGAAATTTAAATTCAACTTCAATAAATGGCAAAGTGGTGTGAGCTGATCTCTACTCTACTCTTTCCTAATGACAAACATGTTGTCCATATATGTTATATCTTTTGATTTGTCTTGATCTTAATTTGTGTTCCCCTTTTCACAACTTCATCATTGTCTGAAGTTAATTGTTAATCATTTGAACAATTTGAAAATATCAAACTTTTTACGCAACTTAATAATAGATAGAAGGTTTCAATTGTGGCTATTGTTTGGATTCTCATAATACATAATGATTTATGGCACAGGTTTGAGCCAGATATGCTGGCATTTTCAGGTTGTTATTTTGGTGGGGGTGAAAAAGAAAAACAAGAGCTTGGTGAAATCAGAAAAAGATGGACAACACTGCCTGTAAGACTACATTCCTATGACATCTACTGACAAAACTATATCATTTCTACTACCAAGATGACAATTTGTCCTTTTAGAGATGATTTTAGGCTTTAGAGGTTTTATACAAGCAGTTACTGTTTTAACTTTTGAAAGTTATAATTTCAGGGTTTTACTTAGAAGCTATTCAAAAAGAAACTTCTCTCAAAATAACCAGGAATCTGATTTTTTTCCTAATTCTAATTTTTTTCAAAATCTTAAACAAACATCTAAATAAACTGAAGCGAACAAGCTACAAAACTAGTTGTTTCCATGTTGATATCAAGTGATTGAGTGGTTATCTCATGTGATAATACAGGACTTGAGCCCTGATGGAGAGCGAAAGCGTGGGAAATGTCCTCTTACTCCACACGAAGTGGGTTTGATGCTGCGAGCACTTGGTTTTACAAATGACACATACTTATATGTTGCGTCTGGGGAAATATATGGTGGGGATGAAACCATGCAGCCTCTTAAAGAACTTTTCCCGAATATCTATACAAAGGAGATGCTCGTTGGGGAAGAGCTGAAACCTTTTCTTTCATTCGCTTCCCGCCTTGCTGCTATCGATTACATTGTTTGTGATGAAAGTAATGTATTTGTTGCTAACAACAATGGAAACATGGCCAAGATTCTTGCTGGTCAAAGGTAAGAATATACAAGTTTACTGTGATGTCGTGATTTTGTTCCTCCTTGCTTCAAAAATTAATATGAAAATGTTCAATAAAGGAAAACTGACTTCCTCTTGTACGAAACAGGCGATACATGGGTCACAAAAGAACCATTAGACCAAATGCAAAGAAGCTTAGCGCGTTGCTCATGTCAAGGCATGAGATGAACTGGGATACATTTTCTGAAAAGGTGAAGGCATGTCAGAGAGGATTCATGGGAGAGCCAGATGAGATGAAACCTGGACGAGAGTTTCATGAATATCCAAGCGCCTGTGTCTGTGAGAAACCGTTTATAGATAAACTGAGTGAAGATGGAATTCACCCGCCCAAACTCGCGTTGAGAAATATGACAACGGGAACTGACTCTGAAATAAATAGTGGAAATGAAGAAAATTTTGAACTACCAAAGCCAAGTGAGAGAACATGACATTATGATGATGAGAATTGAAAGAGTAACTTTGGTACCTTTAAAGTTGGTAGTAATATTGAGCTGTTACATGGCCATGAAAATCTTGTTCTTTCATGTTGTGATGGCTCGATATAGATCAATGTATAGGGGAAAAGTAAGTAGATGACATCAACGCCTTACAAATGTTAATAGATATATATGCTATTTTTTTTATTGTGAGCTCAGCTATAACATGTTTTTTCCACAAAATTGTTGAGTTTCTTCTCAAGTTGTTTCCCATGTTATTACTTGTCATCATTATATTATTTAATATTTATTTTTAATAATCAATTATATATATATATATATATATATATATATATATATATATATATATATATATATATATATATATATATATATATATATATATATATATATATATATATATATATATATATATATATATATATATATATAATTGTTCTTGCACCATCCTTTTCTCCAATCTAGATTTAAGGCAAAACCAAAAAAAAAATTATCATCCTCATCTTCTCTCCTTTGGTATCACCAACAATAGAAAAAAAAACACAAATAAACATGCAAGAGCATAGCAAGAGATTTTACAGCGCACGCACGACGATATGGTCCTCGGGAGGTTAATATGAACGGTAAATTTATTTTGGAATTTTTGTCATTTTTTTATCTTACGAGCTATTACCTAATTTAAAAAAAGAGATGAGTATTTTATCATATATATATATATATATATATATATATATATATATATATATATATATATATATATATATATATATATATATATATATAAAAGTGGAGTGACATCTTTTTATATAGGTTTTTTTCTTATTAAGTGAGATAGGAAGATTTATTTAAACCGTAAAATTATTTTAGAAGATAATTTGATTATTCAACGTAGAATATTGATTATGGATGCAGAATCAAGAGGAAAAGTCATATGGGAGCGCCGCATATCAAGTGGTGTTATTTGAAAGGTGAAAATAAGAAAGTTTCCAACAAGATTTTGAAGGAAGGGTTTGGAAACCACAATAAAGTGCAAATAATATGCGAAATAAGATGGTCAAATAGATTAAAAAAAGCATAATCAAGAGGTTTTGGACCTAAGATAAAAAATTGTAGTGGTGGAATTGAAGTGTCCAGAGTAATGTTAGAGTAAAAGTGATTGCTTTAAAGAATGATATATGTGCAAATATGCCGAAACTTGAAAAAAGTAATAGAAAGCTAATAACGAGACTGAGAAGGTGGTGAGTGAAGCAAAAACTCAATTTTTTTTATGGATTCTATCAATCTTTAGGAATCAAACATGGAGAAAATCTATATATAGACTTGCTAAGGGAAGATAAAGAAACACAAGAGACTTGAATCCGCTGAAGTGTGTTAAAAATGAAAAAATAAAGTATTGGTTCATAAAAAAGATATAAAGGATCAATGGAAAACGTGCTTTAATTTATTTAATGAATTATGTGATATCTCATCGGACTCTAGCAAGCTCGACAATTAGAGAAGAATATCGAAATTATAATTACTACCGTTAGATTCAAAATCAAGAGGTAAAAGAAATGAAAAAGTTAAATAACAGTAAGGTAGTTGGGCCATAAGATATATATATATATATATATATATATATATATATATATATATATATATATATATATATATATATATATATATATATATATTGAAGTGTGAAAATTTTCGGAGATAGATGTATTGAGTGACTCACCAAACTGATTAATGAAATTATGAGTTTAAATCACATGTCAGATGAATTGAGACGACAATTCCAATCTATAAGAACAAAGTGGATCTATAAATTTGTGTAAATTATAGGGGGTTAAATTTATAAGTCATACCATGAAGTTATGAGAAAGAGTAATTGAATGGAGACTAAGAAAAAAGACTTTACTGAGAATCTGTTTTGTTTTATGCGTGGGAGGTCGATCATGGAAGAGATTTATCTACTACGATGTGATAAAGTGTTTATGATAGAGTGTCTATAGAGATATTGTTGAAAACCATAGAGAAGATATCGGTTAGGATTGCATATATTCGAGTTATTCAAGATATGTATGAAGTATTGACTATTGTGTGAATATAGAGTGGATATATAGACATTTTCCTCATTATAATAGGTTTGGATCAAAGTTCAACTATATACCCTTACCTTTTTACTTTAATGTTGGATCTAGTCACATAAAACATCCAAGAGCTAGCAGTAAGATGTAAGATTTTTTTTGTAAATGACATAGTCCTACTTGGATATATAAATGAGGACTTGATGGGAGTTTAAAGGCTTGGGGACGACCTTTAGAAACATATGAGTTTTACCTTAGCATAAATAAAACTGTGTATATGGAATATACGTTCAACAAAATGAGAAGTATTTATAACCAAAGATAAAATTTGGAGATCATATCATTTCACAAGTTATGTAGTTAAATATCTTAAATCTGTAATACAAAATGATGGAAATATATAAGAGATATAAATTATCAAAGTCAAGTTAGGTGGATGAAATGGAGGAGAACTTCTAGGATTTTATGTTACATAAAGGTATCACTCAAGATGAAGGAAATTTTTTATCGGACTATGGTAAGACCTGCTAGACATCATATTTGGCGATTAATAGCCTATATGAGAATAGAGTAAGTGTAGCAGAGATGAGAATATTGTGTTGGATGTGTGATAATATTAGACATGATTAGATTATAAATGAGAATATTAGAAAGTGATGGGGAAGCACCTATAGTAGACAGGATGATCGAAAATAGACTTAGGTGGTTTGAACATGTAAAGAGAAGACATATAGATTATGTGGTGAGGAGGGTAGATCAAACAAAGAGAAATTATATAAATAATTAGAGGTAAAGGAAGACCCAGAAAAACTAGAAGAGAAATTATTAAAAGATAACTTGAGATTAATGACTTGAAAAGAAACATGGTCATGAATAGAACATAATGGCGAATGGAGAAAGTTGATTTATATAGCTGATCTCACTTAATTGGATAAGACTTGGTTGTTGATGTATAAAAAACATAATAAAAAATTGAGTCTAAGTTTATAAAAACACTAGTTATAATATGTAAACAAATATGGATTTATCAACATCAGAAGAAAAAAAATAAAAGTGTGAATCAAGATTGTTAAAATCGCGATTTAAAACATAAATTCTATATATTTCACGTTTTAGGTAACATTTCATGTTAAATCGCAGGTAAAAACATTTTTGTGTAAAATCGTATTCTAAAATTCTTTTAAATGCTTTAAATCACTCTGAAATCGATGAAATTATATCAAATCGTTAAATTTTACTCTTTGACCCGATTTTACCTTTTTTTGTCAAATTTTATCAACTTGAAGATGAAGAGACACATAAGGAGATAATGTTGTAAAATGATTAAGTTTTATATTAAATTAAAGATGAAAACACTTTTTTTAATCTGAGAAAGTTATGAAACTTAATTTTTTTTGTCGTGTGTATAAATTTTATATTATTTTAATGAGATAACTCTACGATTTTATATTTCGATTTTACCTAGATTAAATGATTCAAGATGAACCTCGATTATGAGAGCCTTAGTGTGCACGAATCAAATTCACTTTGCTTATGATCGATGAGCCATAACCTTGTTGTTTTTCTTCCATGCTAATCCAAATCTCTTCATTTTTCTCTTTTTCTAAACTTTATCCTCCACATTCATTAACACCCTTGATATTCTCCTCATCTTTCTTTGTACACCTTTATAGTCATCATTTCATTCTTCTCACCTCATTAAATTTTTTGTTGGTTTAAGAAAAAAATGAATTTTTGTTGTGATTTGAATACCTTTTGAGTAAAAATGATGTGAGACCAAACACTTTGTCATGTATGTGTCATGTTATTAATGATATCCATAACCCACATGTCATCAAAATAATAGGAGATAAAAAAAAATTGAGATAAATAAGGGCAAGGCTTCTATGGGCATAATCATAAATATTTTGGGTTGGGAATTTCTAATCCCACCTTATGAGGTGGAAAAACACCCTATGAAAATTCAAAAATGTCTCACAAATTCTGGATATGTATCTTCGAACGCACATTTTGCATCATTCAATGATGCACCAAATGAGTGCACCCAATTTAGAAACAAAATTTTGTTCCAAAGATGCATCTTCGGACATATCAATTCAATTTATTATTTATTGAGCATCCCAATAGAGTTTTCAGAAATTCATTTCTAGAGTTTTGAAGCGGCAATTTGAAAATTTATCACTTTTGCATGTTAGTCATTTTCGAAGATGAACTTCCGAAAATATCAAACGTGATTGTGATAAAACAACCACCTGCATGGTCAGACACCATACCCATTTTTTTTCCTAACAACCCTTTCCAAAAACCCTTCTATTCTCAATCAAGAGTTTCACTCCAAAACATCACTCTTGTGTTTCATCACATCAAAAGGACCAAAAGAAGATGAAACTTAAACTAAATATAATTTATTTCATTCCTTATTGCTCACATTAATCTTATTTTTTATCTGAAAAAACTTACGTTTAATCCTAAAATGTACTTTTGGATTCTATATGAATTCTTCCGAAAATGCATTTTTGGAGTCTATCTGTTCTCATTTTCCAACTATCTATTATTTAGTTTTAGTTGTTTTTGAGTATTTTATGTTATTATTTTCATTAGATATGGTGTACCCCCAATGTTTTCCTCAAACCTATTGTGTCTCCGGATGCTAAACGTGTTGTTGTGAATGAGGTAGATGTTTGCAACCATTTTAAAAAGGAACATGAGTTTGAATATTATGACCACATGCTTCAATGGACCTGTACGGAGGCATCCAAACTAGAGTTTGGTGTTGTAATCGGAAGGTCTGATAATGGTTTGGATAGAAGACGTGCATTTGTGAGAATGACATATGAAAGAAGTGGGAAGTATAAAACTCCTTTGCGAAATTTCAAACAAAATGACTCCGGTTCAAAAAATGTGAATATCCCTTTAAGTTGT